TAATGGAATAAAGTAACATGTAATCATTTCTTTTCAGGAGTTATTGAATTTTTAGTGAATCATTCGGAAATAATCAGTAATTTGAATAATTTTAATTATATAGAAGAAAAAGTGTTTTACAAATTCTTTGACACACCTAGACTAGTTTAACAGTAACTAATATCATTCCATATTAAACAGATTTAAAATAACTTTAATATGCAAAGAAAAATAGACTGCCCAATATCATAAATAAGAATGTTCTAAAAATCATTCTAATTTGAGTAGAATTTTTCATAATGATCAAATTTTTTTTGCATAAATTGATGTATATCTATTTTAAATATTTCAACATTTAAAATTTGAAAACTTTAAAGAAAAAAAAAGATTGTCACTTATTTGTGACAGTAAAAGTTCATTCAGAAATCAATTAGATATAATCAATGGTCATGAATAATGATGATGATAGTAGTAGTAGTTAGTAGTGGTATTGGTAGTAGTGGTAGTAGTAGTAGTAGTAGTAGTAATAATAATAATAATAATAATAATAATAATAATAATAATAATAAAACCAAAACAAATTTAACAAACTGGGAGCTAGTGGCCAATGTGACTTGTGGATTACGACTGCAACATACTTAAACCAAACCTTAAGATTAACAAATCAAATCAACTGGAAGGAATTTTTTTCAGACTGCTCCACAAAAATCTGTTTCAGGTCTTGCTACCTACCGGCCCCACACACACCATTTTTGTTTATTATTAACTGCAATTAGTTAACTTTTTTTGCCTTTTCAATATCTCAAATACAAAAAATCTGTTTCGGGTCTAGCTACCTGCTAAACCCCCCATACCATTTTTGTTTATTATTAACTGCAATTAGTAAACTTTTTTTGCCTTTCCTATGTCTCAAATACTACTATGTACAATATAATAATATCCATGTTTATGTACCCCAAAAATATACATAATATATTTATAAAAAGAAATCCAATCAATCAACTTTTTTTCTTTCAAATTCTTTTGCTCAGGAAACAAGATACTAATTTTTTCATGGAGCCCCTAGTACAGACAATACAAAAAGCTAATTTTATTCATATTGGGTTTTTATTTTCTTTTGTGTCCTGTTTAAAAATTTAAATCTTACGTATAACTTTCTGACCTTTCCCATTGCCTCAAAGTTTTAACAATAATTACATTCAAACACACATTTCAGAAAAAAAAAAAACTATTTCTAATCCTTGAAGCTTAATTCTTTCTTAAGTAAAATAATAATGAGTTTTGGAGCAGGTCCAAGACAGGATTTAATTTCTCCTTTAAAAGGACTTATGCATTGTAATTGACTAAAAGTTAAAGATATGTCGTGATCTTTATGTTTAAATGAATATTAAGAGAGAACCTGTTCTTTTCATGGGTGGAATTTTTGTTTCTGGATTTTCGTTCAGCTGTGATTTGACATTGTTGCACTTTTTACCATTTGGAATTTAAAACTATGTGGAATTTTTAAACAAAAAACTTCTTGTGAATGCCAGGATTTGCTAATCCAATAAAAGGTAAAAAGATAGGGAGTAGAAAGGAAAACTAAACTGATTTAACAAGTTCTTACAACTTAATTCATCATTTTCGAGTTCACTTCCTGGGACTTACCAGCACAGGGTCCATGAAGAAACTTGGTTGTGACCCGAGTAAAGGGTTCGGCTCAAACCCATGATCTCTGGGTTTACACCAGTTAACCACTATGCTACCACTTCCCTTACTCAATTCTTATTTAAGCTTCTCAGGAAGAATATTAAAGTATAGTTGGTAATCTCGGGAATAATGAGTATAAAATTCTCAAAATTAGTAACCTGTTTGAAAAATCATAATATATTTACCAATGATATAATTATAAACACCCAAAGAATAAGTTCTAAAATCTTTCTTTAATTTAACCTTAAGTCTGATGTCAGGGTCAAGCCGTTGTTTCCGTGAGCAAGAAACTTTACACTCATTGCTTTAAGTACTGGTTGGTTCCAAGGAACAGATTTGAGAGTATTTCAATAAACTTATAGTTTTCAACACAATCAAACTAAAATAAATTTGTATAAACTATAAACAGCAGATTCTAACCCTGTGGACCGTGCAGACCAAGATCGCCTGCCAGGTCTGTACGCACAATGTTGGCTATGTCGCAGTTAGTAAATATTTTGAAATTTTCCCTAAAAAATTATAAATGGTTTAATCTACATTTTTGTATATTGAAAAAGTCCATTTAATAAATTTAAAGTAGCCAGGATTGAAATTCTTGAGAAAGGGTTAAAATTCTTGAGAATAGACTAAACTTGAAAAGCTATCCTCAGTTTATATATTTGTTTGTTCAAATTTCCTGATATTCATGTATAAATGATGTGATGATGAACTTGTACAAAAAGTTTTAAAAAATCTTAACAATGAATGGTGTATTATATCTTTTTGAGAAAAAAAAATATCAAATGTATGGCTTTTCAACCAAATTTATGCAAATTTGGTATAATATTACTCAAAATATATGATGAGAAAATAAATCTAAGATATCTTTTCACTTTTAACAATTGATGAGAGTATTTGATATTCAAGTAAGATAAATTGCATGATTATAAATTATATTCTCCTTAAAAAATGACATATAGATCATTCTAAAAACTTTGCAAAAACTTCAATTCAACAAAAAATCCATTTAAAATGTGACATAAAATGTAACATAAATAAATGGATTAATATTCGAGTTTCTGTATTTTTGCATTCATTACGTCAAAACATCAATATATCATTTAAAATATCATCGTATTTAAACTATTTTGTAAATTTAATTTTTTTTCCTTTTCAATTCTGTTGCTAAGGCTGACTATTTGGAAATCACCTAAATTTTAACGCATCATTACTCTCAAGCATCTTACCACCAAAACATCAAACAAAATGTAATATCTAATACACCATCATAATTTAAATTGCATAAATGGGGAAAATCCTCATATAAAATTATGCAAGCATTCTATATGAGCTGTCTTTCAAACAGATAAAAAAAAGTTTAAAAAAAAGTAAAAAAAAAGAGTAAAAAACCCCCCAAAAAACCAGCAAGATCTGAGCTGATTTTATATGAAACATTTTGGTTAATCTTTTATCATCTAATCTCAAGATTAATGTCAAATATATTGTATCTTGTTCTTTACAGATCAATGAGTTACATCAGTAAAGTATTAAAAATTCACTCCATTAAAAAAATGCATTTAAAAATGGCAAAACTATTCGCTGAACTATTAATGAAATATGAAAAGTAGAGGAAATAAAAAACTGAAGTCATCAGTTTTATGTAAAAAATGAAAAATAAAGGTCTCATACTGTAACATTATTATTATCTTTATTAGCTCCCAAATCTAATTTAATATCTCACTTTATATTCTTTTCATTGCAGATAAAAAAACACACACTTGTATGCTTACATTGACAGTGACCCATAGCAGCTGGAAGGGATAAAAAGTGAAAAAAAAATTGTGGATTTTTTTTGGTATGACAAAACTATTGTAAAGGCGCAGATATACAGAAAATAAAAGATATGGATATTACATTGAGGGGGAGAGAAACATAATGGAGAAAGTGAACTTTATTCTCTGTTAAAACTGTTTGTTATGTTTCATTCAATGAACCATAAAAAGGTGTTAAATTTTTATTTTGTTTCCTTTATACACATGAACTATTCTGCTTAAGACATCAAGTTCGAATGGCTTAAAAATCCACTGAAAGAAACAGGAACTAACTTTGATCATGACTTTGGAGTTCTAACGTTTGCAGATCAAAACCTGCATATCAGCTTGACTGGGTGAACAAAATATATTTAAAAAAAAAAAAAAAAAAAAAAAAAACTAACAAAGTTTGAAAAAGATCAAAAAGTCAACATTATGTAAAAAAACCCAAAAAGTCAAGAAATTGAATAAGCGGGTAATATCAATCATTGTAATGAATTACATACAAACACAATGGACATAAAAGAGATCAAACAATGAATATAAACTTGTAGATAAATAAGTACAGCTGTAGTAGGATCATTTACTGTGTGACATTATCCACTAATATCCGTGACCTGGCTGCGGATAATTGATCAGAAATCCAGCCGAGCAGAACATTTAATTTAGATATTAACTTATCGGGGAATGATAACAGGCTTCAGATTTCTATCGTAAAAATATTACTGTGACTGTACATGGAATAAAATATGTAATTCTTTTGAAATTTTTAATAGTTAAATGTTACAAAAAACATTTTGGATTTTTTGCACAAAATCACATAAAATTGAGTTTTATGAAAAACTGAAGGCTACGTTGATTTCTTTTGAGTGAGTCAGACGGTATAAGATAAAACTTAAATTTGAACAAGTTTTAGAGATATTTTAAGTTTCGAGTGACAATAAACAAAGTTATGTAGTAGTAGCATTGATAAGCCGGTCTTATTCAATGAAATAAAAATGTGACCTTTGAAATCGGCGGAAAAAAATGGGAAACTATATTGAAAAGGAACACATTAATGGATTAAGATAACTTTCAAAAGTAAAATTTTGAAAAACACAGCAGTCTGAAGTGACTTGTAGCATTTGACTGTGATAAACAGGTTGTGTTCATACGAGATTTGAAGTGCGCTTAAGACAACTGTACAAATGTATGATGTCAAAAGTTAATTTAGAATATGAAACAACAAATCAAAAGTTAAACATAACAATATCATTACATTAAATTAAGCTATTCAAGGAATGACTGGATACTAAGACTTTTGATCTATTCACATATGAAAGTAAGATTTCAAAAGGATATATTTGCTAATATAGTGGAAATCTTACGTTTCAATGGCTTTTAAATTAGCAATTTATGCTGCACATGTAGCGAATGAACAGACTATTATGAAAGTTACATCTGATATAGATCATCAGTTCAAAGAATTCATCATACGACGAATAATTTAAAATATCGAAATTCAAAGCTAAGCTGAAGGATATTATAAGGATATTAGAAATTTCGGAAAATCAGCAAAAATTATTGCATTAAAAAGTCAATTATCTGTATCACAAGCAAAGATATCATTATCAAAACGGAGAATTATGGAAATATTTTGTTCATTACGAGACGCATTTACTTATTTCAATCCATATTTTACACAATAAAGATCAATTCAGACTCTCCATTGCGATTTTCAGTAACCAATTAGCCTAGATGGAAATTTTATATTACTATGGACTTCGTTGACCCATGAGGAATCGTGGACAATAGGTATCTAGAGTATTTACGTGAAATTTATCAAATACTCTATTGACCAGTTACCGTTGCTGGCGGAGGGGGAGACTATAGCTCACGGCACACTAGTTGAATGATGTTCGCTCAACATTTTTTTTCTTCAGGAATTAATAACAAGTGTAATTGATTACGGGGGTTAAAAAAGTATAGCTTCGTCACAAACTTGAATGAAAGGTGACATGAAATTTTTATTACATGTACGCAATAGGTAAAACAGATATCGGTAAATTGAGAGTAATGAATAAACCTTTTATACTTGAATATACAATATATTGTTAAAGCCGTCATTCTAAAGTGATAGTAATTATATAGCTGAAGAGATCGAGTGGATAAAAAAACAAATATTGGAAATAATTTTGACGGTCGCTTCCAATTTATATTCACGACTTTTGTAAAGGAAGGTATATTGTATAATCAAATACTGTGCTTGAAAGTAACATAATAAGGACGGATAAGTAAATTCTAATTTAAATAAATTTCATTTCAACACAAAGTTTGTTTGTAAATGAACACTAAAAAGTGGTAATTATAAGCAGACACCAAAGGAGTATACAGTTAAATGAGATGCCACATTCGATAAAATCCAGTTTAGTATACATATAAAATCATCGAAGGTTGAAAAAGGCAAGTTAGTTTCTAACCAAGAGTTTATTTATGATTATAGAAAATAAGACAGAAAAGTAACACAAACAGGAAATCAGGGGTAATAAACAATGTTATGAATACAAATACCGGAGATGTGTATCTGGGAATTTAACACCCTGAACTAGTAAAGTAGGTTAATTTGACTCCATCAACTATAGCAAATTTGTGACAAGCGTTAGTAAATAAGTTCACTGAAAATGTCAATTTAAAAAGCTGCAATTTTTATCAGCAAGGAATAATAAAACTATGAAGGATTGGATTTTAAACAATGATAAAACTTGTTTAACACTAACACTATATTAAAACTGGATTAATTGGAATTTAATAGTAATTTGCTTGCAATTTTAAAGGAAACAAATCACAATGTTTGGAAATAATATGTACGGACACTACATGCATATGGGTGGTCAATCCAACTCTGGTTTCGGGACAACAGGGTTTGGCAGTCAACACCAACCTCAAAGTGCTTTTGGGATGACCAAAAAGGGACAAACTGGAGCATTTGGTCAGGCAAATCCATTCCTAGACCCCAATGGTATGATGCATCATGGGTATGATGGTATTCATCATCATGGTCACCATGGAATTTTGCGCCAGAATTCCCTTCTCGGAGAAATGACCCAGTCAAAAGCCGAACGTGCAAAAGGAGTTAAGCCATGGGCATTTTCAAGTATAAGCTTCCCAGTTGGACATGATGACAATGTACTATCAACTATGTATGACAAACCACTTGAAAAGCCTAAGCCAAAGCCTACTTTGGGAAGACAGCAGTCTTTCTCTGTTGCAGACAGTCTCGAACGTAAAAGAGCACCAAGTTTCAGTTCTGATCCTGATAAGATGAGAAGTCGAACAATAAGTTCATCATCTTTACCTACAGGACGTCCTAAGTTTAGCAGATCATTGTCAATTGCAGATGATATCACTGAGCCTGTTAACATGGACATGGCAATTCCTTTCCTCCGTAGACAGCAGTCTTTGGATGTTGAAAAAATGCGCAGGAAATCACTTTCCCCAAAAAACCATTGCTTCCACTCAACATGTTCAAACACAGACGGTCATCTAAAGTCAAAGAGAATATGGATAAATCTGAAACTTCCAGCTTGCAATTATCTACAAGGTCAAGAAGCAACACTGGTGAAAGTCATGTTTCTTCTAGGTCATCCACAGGATCACAAAAACTAAGTCCAACAAGTCAACAAAAATTATCACTAAACAACAGCCCAAGTAAGCCCAACAGCACAAATGATGAGGACAAATTAATTCTTAGCCTTTTGAATCCTGAGGTCCCAGATGATGATGTATTTCGGTCTAATAATTCACGTGAAGATAAAAATATTCAAATGGAAAATGAAATAGCAAAAGTTCAGGCAAAGCCAGTTGAAGTTTCACCAATACAGCAGCCAAATCATTTGGATGTTTCTTCGCTACAATCCCCTACCTTAGTTACCAAACGAGTGCAACACCTTATCAGCAATGAACCCGACACTGAATCTGTTAAATCAAATGATTCAGAGCAGTTAACCCCACAACCAGCGAGATCTAGAGCAAGTAGCAAATCATCTAGAAAATCAAAATCACCAGCAAGAAGCACTGCTCTACTTGTTCCAGGACCATCTTTGACAGCTCCAAGAAAACCAGAAAACAAAATAGATAGTAAGCTGGTTCCTTATACTGACCAAACAGATTCTGAAAACTCTGATGTGTATTATGAATGCAATAACCAAAGTCAGAAAAATTCTCCAATACTTGCTAAAAATGAAAGCAATCAAGCTGGAAAGGGTAAGAAAAGATCAGTAAAGAAACCAAGAAACACTTGCAGCTCAAGTACATGTACTGATGGCGAAGATACCACTTCAACTTGTGAGACTCCACCTAGATCAGTATTTCGCGACATTCAACAAAAGCATTACCCTGAAGCACCAACAAACAAATATCCTCATGATACGGATTTTATACCAAAAGACATTCATGAAGCAAAAACTTTACCTATTAGAGAAAAAGGACTACAAAGCAAACAAGGAGAAAAGGCAGGCGTAAGACGATTATCTAACAATAATCCTTATACTAGAAAAGTAAATGAAATAAGTGATGAAGATAATGCTAAAGTATCAAACCATGAACTACTTGTGCCTAGCTATGCACCAGTTTTAAAAGGTGAACCAGGTTCAAAAGAAACTTTGAATAATGATATAGGAACTGCTGACAGTTCTGAAAGTGGATATGCTACAAGTTATATTCCAACTTCACCAAAGAACTATGACCATATAAAAGTATCTCAATTTGTTAACTCTCTTCCAAATTACCCAGACATGGATGAACATAGATCTGAAAGTAGTCATAATGATGGTGTTCTTAATGGTTCAGAAACCGAAAGTGATCTTGATGATGATAATAACAAGATACAGAACTACCCACGCGCTGACTTAGACATCACAAGCATAAACTGTGCTAGTGGAAGTGACTCTGAAAATGAATCTGTCAGAACTAATAACTCAATATCAAAACTTGAGGTCATGAAAATTCTTGAAAGTCCAACAGATGTAAGAGAAAGAGTAACAAACGCAATGAATGGAAAATCAAATGAAAAGCTTACATCTAAGTATGATGATACTTTACCAAAATATTCAAGCATCAGAAAAGGAAGCAATGCTTCAGAAACTGAGCTGCTTAAACTGATGAAACCAGAAAAGGATGAAATCGATAGTGCTCCAGAGAAAATTGAAAAGAAGAAACACGTTGAGGTTAATTGTGTAGTTGTAAGTACAGACTCACCTTTAGGGGAAGGAGCTGAAACGAAACTATTGAGGCATCCAGAGAAACCATCATTTGCTTCATCTGTGATTGATAAGTTGAGTTTTAGGAGAGAATATTCATCTGTATATCAAAGTAAATCAACAAACTGTGTAGATGGACTACTGCATTTTCTAAATCTGTTGCTATTTCTCTCAAGTGCTGGGGTTGTTGGCTTTGGCATATGGCTTCAGCTGAAAGACTTCAATGTGAATGATATAACTATTATTCTAGGTAACAATTTATTGCAAATTATAACATACGTTGCAATAGCAGGAGCAGGGGTGGCATTATTAGCAGCATGTTGTTTATGTTGTGGTATAAGACAGGATAAATCTGGTCTTGGATTCTATGCATTTGTTCTTATTGGCGTTGTCATAGCATTTACTTGTGCTGCAGTGTTAAGTTACATATTTTCCAACAAACTGGGAGGAACAGATTTCAGATTCGATTTTAAAGATAGACTTGTGACAATGTATGGTGTAGATGATGGAGAAGTACAGCATCAGTTTTTAACAAGTGCTTGGGACAATATGCAATCTGAATTTCAATGTTGTGGGGGTGATGGGAATGGAAATGACACAGAGTCATGGCTTTTGTATAGAAAAAGTGCCTGGTATCTAAAATTTGCTGATAAAGGTAAAATGTTTGTGCCAGAGAGCTGCTGCAAAAAGAACTCAAACATACAAATTTGCCAAGGTGGTGATCCAGATTTACTAGGACCACCAAGGTATGCACCACCAAAAAAACTACAGAAATATTACAAGGAATTAAATACAAATCTTAATCACCATGGTTGTTATGATAATTTTTCAGCTTACTTGTCAACATTATGTAAGTACATAGCTATAGTGTGTGGAAGCTTAGCTGGACTTTATTTCCTCACTGTGATGCTTACCTGGGTTTTCTGTTTTAAGAAAAGTCAGGACTCCAATGAAAGTTTCATGGAGGACTCTTATTATGACATCGAAGATGATGTGTTTAATAGTGAAGATGGAAACGTTAGAAACAAAGAGATAGATGATAATCATTTAATGGAAGAGACAAAGTTCATTAATATGCCAATTAAATCTGCTCTCAAAGCACCTGAGGTCATGGTGAATGGTAATATTAGAAATTCAGACAATGACAATAGGAGAATGTATGCAAGTGAAAGAATTAACTATCATGATAATGATAATGAAAGTTCTGAGGACGAGAGTGATGAAGATGATGATGTGGAATCTGGTAGGAGTACGCCAAGTGAGGTTATAGACCGGAGAAACATGTGGCTAGCAGGCTCAACTGCTGGTCATCTTCTGTCTATAGCTATTGAGGAAGAAGACAGTAACTTTGAAGACTCTGATATTGAGAGTCCACGTAACTCAGCAAATGTTTAAAATCATATTTTGCTTACTGGTGATCTTAACCTGGGTTGGGCTCTGGACCTTACTGTAATGAAATTATGTTGGATTTATTTAAATCTGTTTATTTAAATCTCCGGCTTCAAGTGAAATTATTCCAGATCTTTAGTGACCTTATAGCACATTCAGGTGCTATAAATAATGTTACTTCGCAATTTGGAATTTTGCAGGGTTACAAACAAGCTTGAACAGTTACATCTTTGATATGTTGCACTATCAATTAGAGATGAAGTTATCTAAAATGAGCACAATAATGCTGATAACTATATTTTGAACATGACTTACAGATAAGGTGGAAAAAATACCCATCTTTGCTGATATTCGAGATAACATCTTTCACAGATATTCATTTGTTATATTATATTTGCTTTTATATATAAATATGTTTAAAAAAAGATAGTGCTAAATGTATCTTCTTGCTCATGTATTCATTATATTCTGTTGTTTCGAGTTGATTTTTGAAAACATTAGGTTGTTCTTCACTATAAATTTTGTAAATGTAAAAAACAAAGTTTTATTTTGTTGCTTAAACGTATACTTACTACTTATTGTTAAGCTAATTTCTATAAAACATATCTGTGCTTTTCATTGCACATTGGTCATATACAATTACTTCAATTACATCAAATTTTTCATCTGATATCATGCAGCAGCATAGATCAAAAATCAACCCAAAACTTCTTTTAATTTTTTTTTCCTGTAAATAATGCACTTGAATCAGATTTTAGATGCTTAAAGCATATTTATGTATCAGCTGGACCAGTTTATCTTTATATATGATAGCATGTTGAAAATATAACGTTACATGCCAATAGGACTTTAATTGTTATCTTGATGAAAATGACACTATGTACATAAAGCTTCTATTTCATGATGGTTTCTAGGGATAAAAGTAAAGTAAAATTTTGGACAAAGAATTCTCTGTTAAAAGATTTTGAAATACTATTTACATATTAGATGCTGTATATTTTTGAAATTCATTTTAAACACACTTATCTTTAGATCATTGTAGGCTCCATGTCTTCTGTAAGATTATCTTAATTAAAGAAAGAGGCATACAAAATGCTAAAAGAAATATATAATTTTAACTTAGAATTTACGAAGGGTTGTGGAATTTTCATACTGTTTTTTAATTACTTTAGAAAAAAAAAAAGAACAAAGGTTGCAAAATTTTGACACTGCTTTTTTTACACTCAGAAAAAAAAACAAGAGACATAAAAGATCTTATAAAAGTTCAAACTTATGTTTTATCTTTTATCTCACTGTGAGTATAAAGAATAACTATGTGATATTTTTAAATCATTTATATGAAGTGACAGAAAAACAATTTTTGATTTGGATTTATAAGAATTTGATTGAAAATGGACACAGAATGGCTCTCCTTATCAATTAATTTGATCATCCAAAACAAGTGTACATAATTGTATATGCATTGCATTATCAATTTTACCAGTTGTTTCAACATTTTTTTCGCTTTAATGCATTTCTAGGGTCTCAAAATAGTGCTTGAACTACCTTTGTTTGATTCTTTTGGTGGTGGGGGAGGGGGAATTAAATAAATAGGGCAACTTTTTAACTTTATCAATCTGTTTTTACAAATAGGGCTAAATTTCTAATTATTTTACTTCTTGTTCATGAACAAATAATTTGAATCTGAAGTGCTGCATAGGAAATATTACCTGTGATAATTAGACTAGATGACTATAGAGTCTTTTGTTTTGTTTTTTGTTTTGATAAACTTTTGGAAATGGTTTCTTAATCTAAGTGCTTGTAATATTATTTGCATATAATTATATAACTTTATTATTATCATTACTATATTTTATTTGTTCATTTTGAAATAAACACTTTTTAAATACTGGTAAATTGTTCTGTTCTTACATATAAATTTACCTTTGATTTATAGACTTTGAGCTGACTATATTAGTTTTTTTCTGTTTTGCCTTCATTGTTATCTTAAAAAAAAAGCAAAACTTGTTTTTAATGGAAATTTAATATCATTAAAATATTTATTCATTTACTATTAGCATTATGGTTCATTTGTCTAATGGTTTGATTTTAAAAAAATAATAATACATATGGCCCATGTAATCATTATGAAGGCTGTGGCAATGGCAGCCAGTCCCATGTGTGCAATCTGGCCAGACTCTACATGGCTGCATGGTAATTCTTTTATCATTTGAGACATCAACACCCCATATTAACAATGTACAACATCCAAACTCAAAGCAGGACATATCCATTGATGAAATTAAGGGTAGTCAGGTTTATAAGCATTGTTCATGGCATGATTTATGAAAATAATAAACACGGGGGATTGAAATGAAGAATTTAGTTACTTTTAATTCTCTTTTAGACAAATAATTAAACACAATCTTCATTGCCCAAATGATGAGGTTATTTTAATTACAACCAATACATAAACCATATGAAATTTTAAAGATAACAGGTATTTCAATCATTTATAACTTTATGACACCAATGCTGAATATAAATAACCAATCTGATTGGCTAAATTTAGCAGCTGAAATAACAGCAGATGACATTTGTTACTTTAAATTTGTTAAGAAACAAATTTTTACTAGACCATGAAGCAGCATCAAGGCTGAATACTTCATAAAACTTGTTTATAAAATTACATAAACTCCATAAAATAACATCCAAATTTTCGCAGGCTGGCCTAAATATTCATGCAAACTTGCCTAAACATTCTTGCAGACTAGCCTAAACGTCCATGAAGGCTGCCTAAACATCCATGCAGACTTGCTTAAACATCCATGTAGGCTGTTAAACTAGTGAAATGTGTTGGCTACCCAACATCAAATTTAAAAAATAATATAATTTTTGCATACTACTCAATGCAATGCCAAGAAATGTATTTTAAGGAATAATATTATACCTCATTTTTTAGATTTTTTTATTTCACAAATATTTCCATGTACAATGCTTAAAACTCTGACTACCCTTGATTCCCATAATGGATTTGTCCTGTTTTGAATTGGTGTTTTGATATGAATGCAATATAATTTTCATCTTTCTTTTGAAATGCAATTTACAGCTTCTCATGCATCTTTCACTTCAATAAATTTGTCATAATTACCAAATTTTACATTCTTGAACTGCATTAAATATACACAATTCTACTTTGTGTAAGTAATAAACCACGATCTTGCATAATGTTATGGCTATGAAAAACATAAACTTCAAATTAAACCTTGTTTATTGTTGTGAAATATGGTTTGATTCTAAATAAATTTGATTGCTAAAGAATCATAAAACTGCTATTTCAAGTAAAGCCTGTGAAATGCAAATATTTGCAACAAATTATAAGTAGTTTAGATTAACTGCATGCACAAGGCAAAAATAATTTTACCATTTTATTCTGTCCACACTTAATCCTCTAAAAAAATTACTAAATTTTTTTTTCAGTATTTTTTCTTTTTGGAAGAGCAATACTTTATTCAGAGAAAAGAAATGTTATTGAGATATTGCAGGCCACATAGTATTATAAAATGATTCAATTCAAACAGTCCAGTAACAATTTGTTAAGAATAATACACTATATATGCTTAAACCATTTTTCAGATTAAAATTTAAAGAATTTATAAATTATTTATTTACAAGTGTTTCCAAACCAAATATCTTTAAGCTACAAATGTAACTTGTTTATGTATCAATCTTGTTCAAACCCAGTCAGGGGCAAGCTGTTGTTACAAGTCCTAATTTTTGTGAGCACCCATTGCTTAGTACTGGTTTGTTCCAGGAACAGATTTGAGATTGTTTCAACAAGCTTACAGCTTCCAAGTCACAATAAAACTAACTTAATAAATTTGTATCAACAAATCTTGAAAGAATCATTTACCAACTTGAGGGAAAACTTCAGAATAAGTACTGAATGACAAGTAAACAAAGAACAATGCCGGCAATGATCTTGGTCGAAGGTACAGGTTACATTGGTAGAATCACTTACAGACTTAAAGGGATTTAAATTAATATCTCAAACATGCCAATTATTTCTTTTTATATACATACTTAGATAATTAAATAATTTGGATTTTTTTTTAAATTTTAGTACTTGATTTTTATTTTGATGTTTTTTGTTGTTGTTTTTTTTTTTGTTATTTTTACATTTATTTAAAAAAAAAAATTTTTTTTTTTTATTTTTTTTTTTTTTTTTTTTTTTTTTTTTGTTTTGCGTCTACATATAAAAAATAACTGAAGTTCCAATTTTTGATCCACTAAGCAAATGACACAAATTGTGAAATTAATGTACAGAACCATGATTTATGTTTTTTTTTGTTGGATATCATATTATTGTATGTATTATTATTTTTTGCACTCTACTACTGCTATACAGCAGATTAAAATATAAATAATTTGATCAATATCATTAGTCATATCAGTTCATAAATGTCTTAGATTTTTATTTACGATATGCCAATTTAATTCCTTTGTTATAATTTAATATGTTATAGGCAAATTGTTAAAGCTTTTGATTCATCTATTAAAATGCCTGTATAATACAGCTTTATTCAGTGTTTGACCTTTTTTGTTTATCCTATGCCCATAAACGTCTGCTTTTAAAACCTTATAAAAATAGTAGGAAAATCGATTTTTAAATCTAGTCCAGCAGGAGTTGTCTACCTTGTGAATGTTAATTAAAACTTTTAGGTCATGAAGAGTTACCTTTTCTTGAAATTCTAAAATATGTTGCGTGAGAAGAGGTTTGAGTTTTCAAGTAATCAAAGTTGCTAAGTGAAGAACACTTGATCATTACAGCTATGGGTTTGAGCCCTACTGCATCCGAGTGGGTCCAAATACTGCGTCTGTGAGGCTCCTTCTTTAGAAGTTAAGCTATTGAAACTACCAGTGTCAGCAACATAACATTCTATGCCCAGCTGTTTACTGTACCAATTATGTATGAACACACTGTTGGATAAACTTGGCAATTGTTTAATCAGTAATTAACATAATTATTGGATTGTTGTATTCATAATCAAGGGATAATGTGAATTAATTAATTTCTCATTAAAACTGACACTGTCTATAATATTATTATCAATTAATAACTAAGTACTATAAGTATTTTCATTTAAATGAACTATGCTTCAATCTTTGTTCACAGTTTTGCAAAGGATGGTTGTTTCTTTCTGATTAAAAGATAGTTTGCAAGAAAAGTAACCCAATATAGCAAAAGATTCTGTAAAGGCTGAACTTTGCTTAGCTGAGTATAGGCAGATAAAACTTTTTGAGTTTTAAACCATATTGATATAGTAATGGTCATATGACAACATTCCAGCTTTACTGATGGAGGGATACCTCAGGTGCGCTGCCATGTTGTGTTTAGGCACCTGTGTGGAACCAAACGACCTTCTGTAAGCTAGCCAGAGATAAGTTTCTCACAATCGTGTAAGCTTTTAAAGCCCTCTGCAAGACTCGAACCTACAGTTGTTAGGGGCAGGTGATTTAAAGAAAGCGCGGCAGGGACCAATCAGCTCTACAGTCATTTCTACAATACATTTCTAGCAAAAATCTTTCAAGAATGTAATGTAGAATAAATCTGACTGATTAGAAACAGTTCAGACCTTGATAAGACCATGATCAAACAATGTGGGATATGTCGGCTGACCATTGTCTGGACTGCAGGCATTGGTATAACCTGTTGCATATTTTTTTAATTTAAAAAATCTTCTTCAATGATCTATTATCAAAAATGACCACTTTATTCACCGTTTCTCAAGGCTTGTGGTTATAAACAATGTTTTTACGCTACACAATTGTGGTAATTGAAGTTTGAATAGTAATTAGGAAAGATGCCTAGGGTAACAGAATTGTATTTCTAGATAAATTGATCAAATTGGTTTTCAAATGTTTTTTTAATGGAAATAGACAAGAAATATATGATATAAAAGTGATACAAAATGTGATTAAAATAATGTATTTTATGCTACATCATTATCTAAACTTGCATGGTTGAAAGCACATTGATGTGTATTTCAAACACTTTTACATTTTCAAAATTATGACATTAAGTTAAAACACAAAACAAAGCTCAACAGCTTCTAAACCAACTTTAAAGGCACAGCCAATGTGCTATCTATAAAAATCTAGGCAGTTAAAGCAACATGCTTCCAGATTCATACAAACCACTATGCAAATCTGACCAGTTAACAGCAGCACACCTCCAGATTAATACAAACATCAATGACAATTTAACAAGTTAAAGCAGCACACCTCCAAATTAATACAAACATTAATGACTATTTGGCCAGTTAAATGAAATGCAGCACACCTCTAGATTAATACAATCAGGCCAGTTAAAGCAGCACACCTCCATATTCATACAAACATATTTGACAATTTAGCCAGTTAAGTGCAGCACACCTCCAGATTCATACAAACATTAATGACAATAAGGCCAATTAAATGCAGCACACCTCCAGATTTATACAAACATTAATGACAATTTAGCCAGTTAAAGCAGCAAAACTTCAGATTCATATAAACATTAATCCCAATTTAGCCAGTTAAGCAGCACACCTCAAGATTCATATAAACAGCTATAGCAATTTAGCCAGTTAAAGCAGCACACCTCCAGATTCATACAAACATCAATGACAATTTGGCCAGTTAAAGCAGCACACCTCCAGATTCATACAAACATCAATGACAATTTGGCCAGTTAAAGCAGCACACCTCCAGATTCATACAAACATCAATGACAATTTGTCCAGTTAAAGCAGCACACCTCCAGATTCATACAAACAGCTATAGCAATTTAGCCAGTTAAAGCAGCACACCTCCAGAATTACAATTAAGCCAGTTAAAGCAGCACACCACCAGATTCATACAAACAGCTATAATAATTTAGCCAGTAAAAGCATCACACCTCCAGATTCAATATAACATTATATGGTAATTCAGCCAGTTAAAGCAGCACACCTCCAGATTCATTCACAAACATCAATGGCAATTTAGCCAGTTAAAGCAGCACATACCTAGATTCATGCAAATATTTATGGATATTAAGAAGAGTTCAAATTATCATTAATATCTTCTATTGAACAAATTAAGTGATTACAGCAGAATTTCAGCACTTGTTATTCTAAAAAAACTGATATCATCTGTTGGGATAAGCAAAAATTGCCCTAAAACTGTTTGTTATGAGGCAGATATAATTTTATGCTGATAAAAACAGTAAATCCATTCACATAGTCCATAAAGCAATAGCACAAATATCACATTTAGTGGGAATATTTATATAATATATATGATTTCATTTATGCATATTTTGCAGCTGTAAAGACATTTAAGCCCTCATTTATCTTTAACAAATCTGTTTTAAACATTCATTACATTCATATCCCTCCTAGTATTGCAGGGCTACCTATTGCAGGCCTTTTTTTCCATAAAGGAAGGGGCTGTATAAGAGAAACATTACTGTCAGCAAATTCTTTAAAATGATTTAATTTTCCCATAAAATTCAATTAACATCAAGTTTGTTCAAGTTTATACTGTTGCAATAATACTGCATTATTTTCCCCCTAAAATTAGAGGGAATTTATCAAAATATTTGTACATTTTATAAAAAATATTTCATTAGATAGTTATTACAGCTTTATACCATTTAATAGTAAAATATTAGGATTTATTATATACCTTGTTAATTTTATACTATATTACATCATACAACAGTCTGTCACAAACAATGCATCCATGGCATGTCATACTTAAACAAGTACACATAAGTGATAATTAGTCATTAAATTACATCTTTCTTTATTTGCTCTCTTATTACTGTGAGTTCTTTTTGCATGCAACTACATACAAATAATTTATGAACTTTAAGTACCAAATCTGGTACCTTATCTAAATCATTTGCACTAATTGGGAAACAAAATTAATGTCCTCATTATGAAGATTGTTAGAGCTGAAGGTAGGACAGTGGTTCTATTTATGGATAATTATATGTAATTGTCTTATGACAGATGCTGATAATAAATAACAATTGACACACATTACATGGTATATTTCTTAAAGCAGCATTAGCCTCGGAAATGCTTTTTTTCTTTATTTCTTAGAAGCTTTTTAATTTTGTTGTACTTCATCAAAATACTACTTTATTTACATTTCCGTACTTTTATGACACATTATTTCGTTACTTTCTCCAGGTAACAAGCATCTACCATTCTTTAAAACCATTATTTAAACATTATAAAATTCATGTTTGCCCTTTCTAATGAAATAGAAATTTCTTTGTTTCTGAGGCATAATGTGCCTTTAACTATAGGATATGTTGATCTTAATATGTGTAACAAACATCAGGGAGGCAAACCCAATCAACACTCCAAATAAGTGCACATTGGAAAAATTTTGAAAGTAATTCCAGTAGTTGGTTTAAAATAAATATTTCTAGTATTGAAATAAAGTGCATAAAAAGTAAAGGAAGTGTTTTCTGTTTAGGGGCACTTAGTTTGAAGAAAATCCATTACGTATTTAGAAAGATACTCACAAAAACCTACATGAATCAAACCTAGTTTCAGAACTTTAAGCTGTGTATGAACTTTGTCCAAAAGTCAAATGGGTTTGCCACCCTGAAAAAAAGTTTGTCCAAATCAGGACGGTTAACCATTTTGATTGAATATGGTAACTTCAGGTGCATGAATTGATTAGTCTATAAATGTCTCCATTTTTCTCTTTCTAGAAAATTCTCCATTATTTCTATACTTCTATATAAAGGTTCATTTGGGTTAGATCAAATTAAGCTATTAATAGTGGTCTCAGGGGAATGTATAAAACTGCCAATTTATTCTGTAATTGCGCCAAATGTGAAATCTATACATACATACATACAATGTGCAATCATAATGTATGTAATTGCACTGGAGAATCAAGATAACTATTTACATGTATAATGTTAGTAATGACATTTTGCCTTGAATATAGACTATTAAAGGTCACTTTTCTATGTCAATAATGTAATGAAGGTCAAGATCATTTTATTTCATGTGGTCATGGTAAGTGGGGAAATATAATTACTTTAACCTTGCCCATGTTATCATGGAGTTAAAGGATAACAAAATAAAAACATTTTCTACACATCTCTACCTTTATCGGTTTCATTATATGATGTCACACTGTTTTACTATAAAAGGGAAACTACTCAAAGTAAACTTTAGATTTACACATGATGATTAACCTCCCTTAATTTTTTATGATCTTTTTTAACTGCTAATTTTATTAAAACAACATTTATTACATTGTGTAAGAATCACCGAGAAATAAGGAAATATAAAGATGCTTTTGCTTTATATTTTCAGTTACAATGATATTTTCAGATATTAGAGGCTTTTGCAAATACATTTTCAGTTATTAAGTTTCTTTTGCTTTACATATTTCAGTAACTAAGTCACTTCTGCTTTATATTTTCCATTACAAAGATACATTTGATTTATAATTTCAGTTACAAAGATGCTTTTGCTTTATATTTTTCAGTTACAAATGGCAACTCACTATCTCTCAACAAGATTCTACTGAGACTCTAAAAGGCTGAACTTTTCCAAACCAGGTATCCCAACAAGAAGTATAAAACAGTTCCTTCTTCTAACCATTCAAAACATTGTGATATGTACCAAAATTCAGAAATTTGAACAGGAATTCCTGAAACACAATGGAAGAAGAGGATGAAGCCAATCTTATGGCTGAGTTAGAAGAGGAAACTGATGAAGCTGTGAAGCATCAACAAAATGGAGAGTCAGCAGAGCCAATTGATGATGACATTCAACACACAGTTGGGCAACTACTGCATTCCAAGTCCAAACAGAGACATAACTTGGTACGTAAAGATTCAAAAAGGGACTTAAGTATAGAGGATATAGTGAGTAAAGCTCTGCAAGCAGAGAGAAACCATTGGAAGGAAAGGTTACAAATGTCAATGCATGAGATTGACAGACAACATAAAGTCATACTAACTACACAAGGTGGATTACAGGAATTAGTAAAGTCACTGAAACATTCAACAATGAAACATGTGGTGTTTAACGAGGAAGAAGAAGACGACGATAGCAATGATGATCTTGATCATGAAGTGGTTACAGCAAGACTGATGGAAAACTTGAAGTTTCAGGTCAGACAGTTAAGAGTCAAAGCTGGTGTGTCTGAGGTCTCCAAAACAGAAATTGAAGAAAGTAAACAGAAGCATAGAATGTTGGTGAAAGAGTTAAAAGCAAAGGCTGAGAGTCTTCAAGATGAAAAGGAAACACTGGAATTAGATCTACGTGATAAGAATGAAAAAATTGCATTCCTGACAAAAGAAAATGCTGCACTTTACAGGCAGTGTCAGAAACTACAGAAGATTATAGCCAAATATAATGAGACTCACTGTGGAGCTAATTTCCATCTCAATGCTATGGACAAACCAAAAGAGACCTTGTATGATAAGAAACGTGAAAAGAGGTATTCCACCACTTCTTATGACTCATCTGAAAGTACATTAAGTACAGTACGTGAAAGAACGTATGTTGAAGGCGATCAGCTTGCAACATATCCCTCCTCTCTTGAAGAATCAGCCATCATAAAAGACAGACTTAAGAGAAGTATCTACTCAGCAAGAAATGGTGATTACAGATCTAGCAATGTGGCACAGTGCATTAGGTGTCAGAAACTGTTCAAGCCAGTTGAAAATACACACAAGTCATGTCAGTTTCATCATAAAGGAAGAGAGATAAAGGAAAAATTTCAAGAGAATGGAAAGCTTGAAAAAGTATTGTATAAATGGTCTTGTTGCAAAAAGCCATTGGATTCTCCTGGATGCTGTTATGGTTTCCACATTTAGTTTGAAATTTATTTGGAAAAAAAGCCTTTATACTTTATATAAGTTTGTAGATAATGGTATAGCACCATACCTAAGTCTATGAAAATTGGTTCAAAGTCATCATTATAGATTTGACTATATTTATAAAACAGTAGAATATTAAAATGTATGAGCAATTTATGTAACTTAGTTGAGATAACAAGAAATATGTTTTGGTAAAAACCAACATACTGAACTTGATATGAAACTTTTGCTGAATATAATAATATTCTGTTATGAGACTTAAATTGATCTACTGAATATAAGAATATTGGTAAAAGCCATGGTATGAAACTTTGCTAACTATAAGAATACTGGTAAAAAGCAATACATTTGTATCATGAAACTTTGCTGAATATACATGATGATTGTGGTTATTATGAAACTTTGCTGAAAATAAGAATCTTGGGAAAATATTGGGGAAAAATCCATAGTATGAAACTTTACTGAATATAATAACTTGTATCATAGTTTGGGGACCTTTCTGTTGAAAATGTGTCGGAGTTAAATTGTTTACATATACATGCACAGTACTGGAGTTAACTGGAGTGCAGGTATTAGTTACCCGCACTCCAGAGCATGTCCATTGATTGGCTCGTTTTTGCTGGGGTTTAATTATTGTGACGGCAGAGAAAAGGAAAGCGACAGAAATATCACATTCAGATACTCCTTCATTGGTTACTTTTTTCTGGGACAACAGGGAACGTGTTTTTATTTTTGATTATGATACAAAAGATAAAGAACATCAAAATACTCGGCAATCTGATTTATACTCACGGGGACAAATCAGTTAGCCTCGTGTTTTGATGCTCTTTCTATTACATAGATTTGTTAAAGCTGTGGTATCAAACTTTGTGTGAACATTAGAAAATAATTTTGTTAAAGCCATATGATATGAAACTTTGCTGAATATTTGCAAATTTATTATAGTTGTTGTATATGGTATTTCGGATACTTTGCTGAATATATGAAAATTTGTTAAAACCATAGCATGAAACTTTGCTTTAATGTATGAACATCTGTAAATACCATAAAATTCTCTTATCCCCCATTTAAGCTTTCTTGTTGGTCACAATTTAAATAGACTGTTTGTTAATATTTGCACAAATTCACATGTTGGTCAGGGTAGAGTGTTTGATTAATTTTTCCCATCATATATTTTTGCTTCAATTAGTGTGAATGTGATATTGTAAACTGATTTAATAAATTTTACAGACTGTTTAAATCTTAAAAGTTTATATCATTGCAAAAGCTTCAATTTCTTAACATTCTTAGCTTCACTTTTCAAAGAAGGAAGTGGAGTTAATATAGTCTCATCAGGGTTGGTTTAATCTGTTCATTAATATTCATTTTTCTCAGAAACTAGAAACTTCACTTCAAACTTGCTATGCATGTTCATTAACATAAAAGAATGCCATTTAAAAGAGCAAAATATACCAGATTTTTTTTCCAAAGTTATGCCCCCTTTTCAACAAGGACTTTGAGCCCTGGTAAGCCTTTTTGTTTTATGTTCAGGTCCATTTTCTCCAAAGCTATCAAAGTTATTCCCTTCAAACATGATCATTATGAAAACAAACACCAAAATTTCTAAAATAAATTTTGGCAAGGTGTAGCCCTTTTCTTCTTTAATTTGATTTAATTTTTTTTTTTGCTAAGGGTAATTGCTACAAAATGTAATAGATTTCAAACTTTGAACACCCTTGTCCCTTGGCTACTTCTTTTTATTTTACTACCCAGCCCCAAGAAAAGTGGAAGGTGCTGTCAGGGAACAGGTGTTGTTTATAATTGCAATTCTACATTTTATAATCATTTTATAATAGAAATTTTTTATGTGTTTCTGTGATCCATAATGTATATTGAATATACTTTTGTCTGTACCATAGTTGTTAAAAAAAATCTGTAATGTGAAATTGACTGTGATTGTTTTTCTTCGAGAATTAAATTTATCTTTTTGAAAAATTGGATTGTTTTGATTTAAGTAAAATGAATAAATACCACATTTATTCCTAAAATAATCTGCTGAATCTGTGTCACTGATCAAGCTTTGAATTTTTGACCATTCATTCCAAGGGATTTTAATATCACAATACAGAAACTGAGATGTAACAGTATAATGTAACAATACAGAGCATGGTCAGACTTTTTTCCTGTGCAATCACAACTTCCACAACATTTTGTTTTTTTTCATTTGGTCGCACCAACACATTATAGGTTATCTGGCTTACTGGTGGATGAAGACTTCATGTGACCTTATGTGAATTCATTAGTGCACAATCTAGAGAGTTGTGTGTCTTTTGAAGCCAAGAAATTTGATTGTCACATACCAGTTTGTCGTCCCAGTGGAATTACATTTCCTTAATGTCCATATCAGGTTCCTTCATTCTAATGGTGATAATAAGATCAAGGGGATAACTTTGTATGAAAAAACAAAACTATAATACTCACTGCTTCTAGACCCTTGTCGATTACAAATCATAAATAACATTGTCGAAAATTTTGATATATTAACTTCTAATAAGTTTTTCCTTACTTCAATGTTTCAAGCTTAATATTTTTCTTACAATATAGATTTATTACATTAGGCACCGTATGTTGAAGTAGAAGCCTGAAAATGGCTTAATGGATGTTAACATTTCTGCAAGTACAAATTAACTTTAAGCAAAATACAAGCGCCTCATGATGGCCAATTTCATGTTGGGACAAGTTTTGTGACAGACGGACAGACAGACAGACAGTGCACGACTAGACTTGGTACTGATCATTCCTGTAAAGTTTGGATAAAATTGCACCAGTAGTTTATGAGGAGTAGTCTGGCAACACACAGAAAAAACACCTTTTTATCAAAGGGCCATAACTCGACCAAAAATCATTCAACCAGAAAACCCGTGCAATATGCACAAGGACTTGAGCTACAGATCAATCCTGTAAAGTTTCATTGAAATTGCATTAGTGGTATAAAAGAAGTAGTCCGGACAAACTTTAAAAGTAAAAATTATTTAAGGGCCATAACTCATTGAACCGGAAAATGCTGACCATATGCACAACTAGACTTGGTACTGATCATTCCTGTAAAGTTTGGATGAAATTGCCCCAGTAGTTTATGAGGAGTAATCCGGACAAGTTTTGTGAGGGACGGACGTTCCAACATTTTGGCTTTAGGTGCTATTTTCTTTGTTATTTTCTTTGTTTTCTTAAGGGCTACTAGCCCCTAAACCCTTTGATTACGGAATGAACCTTTTGTTCTCTTTTGTTCTCTTTACTGTTATATAGCCCCTAAACCCAAAATGTTTGCTCGGACAGACAGACAGACGACGTGACCACTACTCCGTAGAGGTGACACAAAAACCATTCTGCATGTTTACTACCTTAAATACTTATCATTTAAATACCTTGATAATTATTGACAATGTTTCTTATAAAGGAAGCAAATATTGTCTTTCTTTTTAAAAGCACCTTATACATTAAAAACAATCAAATTTTTTTTTTGACCAATTCCATTTTAAATATCTTATAATGAATATATCCATCTTTTTTCAATAGGAATCAAACCATTCATCATTTTTAGCAAAATTTCAGAAACTGTACTGACTAAATAGCGAACAGTTCAAATCATGGACATGCCGGCTGAACCTGGCAAGTACTGGTGAAATTATAAAATATCTGGCCACAATTAAGCACTGGGTAATGTTTAAAGAATGTATACCTGACAAGATATTACAATGTGTTTTCTATGTATTGGAGGTAAGCATATACTGTTACAACAATACAATTTAACATTGATTTACATAAACAAAACTATGGCAAACACCTTGAAACAATGTATCGTGTCATTTCCCACCAAAACGGCTGATTCACTTCAAACATTTTATGTCTGAATTAAACAGACTAGACCCAATGTTCTTTATAATACCGGCAATAGATGATATATCATTTGAACACTTAATGCAATAATGTCGTAAATAACAAATCTTAAATGAACGTATTTACAACATTTTTGCAACAAGTCTTTGATGTTGTAGATATCATTATATGCCATACTCCAAGTTCAACGAGATACACAATAGCTGTTATGTACAGCTATACATCTGATCAGCTCCAAATCAATTGTTCCAATCAAACTTCAGTAAAACAATAGAGTTAACGTTTCAAAATATTGCAGTTCTACAGTTTACACCCCTGGTTGAATTGGGGAAAAAATTTGATTATATGTCAAGAGAAGATGTTTTAATATTTGACTGATCTGTATCTCTAGTGATCTACAATTGTAGACTGTGACACAAGATTTGTATAGGTATAGACTGTGTCCCACTAAAACAAAAATTCACCAATGATAAATGTGTTTGCAGACAAAATCTTTGAAGTGACTCTACAATAATGATTTTTTTTTCATCATGGATTTGTGAAATATTTCATACATACAATTAACAAACTGATTAGTTTCTGAACGCAAATTTCAAACTTGTTTAAATAAATAAAAAGTGAAATCAATGTTCAGGCTAAATCTGATTGAAAATATTCTAAAACAACGGAAAAAGTATTGATTAAAGCAAAAGTTTATCAACATTTGTTGAAATAAATGGAAAAGGAAAAGCTGAAAAAGACAAAAAGGAATGGTACAGACTTGGAGTTCATTCTTGCTATTGTTGATTATAAATGTTTTACTTTAATTTTAGAGACATTCTATATGTAAAATGCATCAGCAAGATCATAAGAGTTAATCGATAAAGGGTAAAGAATAAAGCAATTTAGCTGAAAAAAGGAAGTAAAGGGACAAAATTTCAAGTAAGCCCTAAAAAAAACAAGTTCAAATTGAAGGAAAATTTAAAGAAAACGAGGAGAAAACAAGTTTCAATTAAAGGATTATTTCATTGACATTAGGAAAACAAATTAAAAAAAGATTAAAGGACAATTTCTAAAAGCAAGTTTTAGTTAAAATACAATTTCAAGAAAATCAGGAGAAAGCAAGTTTTGATTAAAGGACAAATAAATGGAAATCTGGAGCAAGCAAGTTTTAATAAAAGATTTTTTTTAAGGAATTTCAATTACTTCTAAAGGATTGAGTCTAGATTCAAGAAAAAATGCAAAAAATGAAAGAAAGTCTGGAGCAAAGGACAAAATGCAGAGAAAGCATTGTAAATAAAATTACACAATAAATCAAAGTTACGTCAAAATTATTTGAAAAAGGAATGCTACAAGGCATCTTTAAAAGAAGATTTTAATCATTCTTGAAAATATTTCATATGATTAACCAGACATAAAGGTTTCTACTCACATAAAACAGCATTTTCAAACAAATTTATTTAAACAAAAGATTGAATTTAAGGAAAAGTAACTAACATATATAAGTTTGTTTAAAATGAATGATATACAGAAGAAAGTGTTGAGAAATCATCATGGTGACATACTAAAGAATCTGGTATTAGATCAGGATATGCTGGGATACCTGCTACACAAAGATATCCTTACAGAAGCTTCAGTCCAGACTATTCAGGTAAAATACAACTTTAAAAAAAAAAAAAAAACTTTACTAAAAAAATTACAACAATTTTCTGTGTGTTTTATTTGGATATGAGGATAGAATAACAAACTTACTTAAATCTATTTCAGACTCACAGTTTATTGCAAACATTCTAAGAAAACTTCATTGCATTAAAGGCATATGCTAGGGTAATATAGTCAGGGGCATGACTTATGCAACTTAAATTGTAGTGGTCAATACAAGCAAAAGTCTAAGCTCTTGGCACTGTAGTTTCACAAAAGAAGACTTATTGGCGTCCGCGCCGAAGCGCGGCGCCTATTGGAATGAAATGAGATTTTGTGAAAGGGCGACAGCAACTTCTCGAGCCTTTTATAGTTGCCAATAATAAAAGCCGATCATTCCGATCGGTATGAGGGTGCTTGATTGTTAATTAGTCGCGATATGTACAATGAATGGCAAACTGGAGAATTTCGCAATGCAAACATTTTCAAATGAAATAACCTTTTCCGTCAATAAATCGCGCTCTTCGGGGTATTTTTGCTTATCATTTTGTAGTACACAGTGGGTTATTATGGTATGTTATTCCGAAAGCTGTTAATAGAATGATGAGTTGATGACCTTAATATTCCGAAAATCTATTTATAGAGGGATGTACTCCTAGGTAATTCCTGGTCTCTCCCGGGATTTACTAATGACCGGCGAATAGTACCACAATTGTCCGGTCTCTCCCGGTTTTGGAGTAGATATCGTTACAGAACAGAACAAATATTTTACAGATAAATAAGCTTTTTTTCAAAATGAATGTTTGTCACTTAGTTTGGTTACAATAATTAATAAACACAGATCAACTCTCGAATTGATTGATTATTATTATACATAAACATACAATTCGAAAAAAAAAACCAACAACACAAATCGCATGTTATATTTTATCTATATGAGATAAAAACAATAAATATGTACAATAATTGAGAAAAACTGTACATTTTTATGGCATTAATATGACACTATCAACTTTAAAACATTTTATATAATTTGTTATTTGTGTTTAGTAAAGATTCCGAGGAATTATTCAAAGTTACAAATCAGATTTTATGAATTATTCAATTGATTGATAATTTAAAAAATGATAAAGAAAAATACAAATGTACATGTATATGGTTTAAGAATAAACAATATTATAAATTGAAAGATTAACCATGATTTACTGACTTTTTCCAGTTAAGTTTTGACTTATAATCGTCGATCATTATGACAATTGAATTCTTAAAATAGTAGTAAACGTAAAAACTCAGTATTAAAATAGCGCATAAAACACACACAAAAAAAGAAAAGAAAACAATATTCATAAAATCTGTATTTTTTTTTTATTAAAATAGAAATTACATTTATTGTATAATAAACAATTATGCTCAACATGATCAACATGGTAATATAACAAGTGTCATATTGTTACTTAGTGTGAACAGATACCTTAAGAGGGGGTCCTCGTTAATAGCAATAACATAATAAGGGACAATTACACAAGTATGGTGTTGATCATGCGTTACACATATGGATTATAAATGATTGTATACATGTATATCCGTTGCTATTAATAACCACGATCATAAAGAAATAACAAGTAATATTCTAATTTCTAGCATGCCAATCAAAGTTATAAATAATGAACAATGTCTTTCGTCCGTTCATTCAAAAGTGATATACAATTCTGGTAAAACCCAATGAACCATTGAAAAGTTTATAAGAATATCTTGTCATCATATATCTACTAGTTCATCTGCACGTGCTGTTTGGACGCCCTTTGATGCTTTGCATCAATGCTTTTCTTGTATGTATTTACCTATACAAGTCTATTTAAACTAAGTTACCTTGGGGCAAAGCCAGTTTTGACAAAAAGGGCATGATTTATAGAACTTTTGTAAAAGACCACTAGGTGATGCTACATGCCAAATATCTAAACTTTAGGCATTGTACTTTCTGAGGAGAAGTCTTTAGTATTTTTACTATAGACGGCTATATAAACTAAGTGACCCAAGGGTGCAGCCAATTGTAACCCCATGGAAATAATTTCTGTAACTTTTGTACAGATCCATTTGACAAATCTACAAGCCAAATATCAGAGCTCTGAGGCATTGCAGACTTAAATGTATTTTCCTATGTAAAGTATGTAAACTAAGTGACCCCCCAAGGTGCCATTTTTGACATCATGGGCATAATCTATAAACATTTGCAGAAGACCATAAGGTGATGCTACATGCCAAATAACTAAGCTTTGGGTATAATTGTAGTTTCTGAGAAGAAGATTTTTAAACATCACATTTTTTGAAGTTTATTTTTAGCTCCTGTCACAGACTAGAACTATTTATATATTTTTGTAGAGGATCAGCATCTGTAATGTTTAGTCAAAATCCATCAAGTGGTTTAGGAAGAGATGTTGTTTAAAGAAATTGTGGACAATGAAGCTGGACACACTGCCATCACAAAAGCTCCCCTCTGAGCACTTTGTGCTCTGGTGAGCTCAAAAGTCTAACTACTTATAATTTTGTACAAACACCAGAATTTAGTCAGATATATGAAAAACAGAAAAAATAAGGAATTGCTAACTTTGTTTGTGAATAATCTGCACTTGAAATAAGCAAATTTTCAAACTCAAAGGCATGAAACTCAAAAACTAGGTTGGTGAACCTAAAGTGTTTTTTTTCACTTCAAATTAATATAAAACATTTCTGCCAGATCTCAGATCATGTAAAGTTTAAATAAAGTCTTTGATAGTTTTCATTTAGCTATATGTAACCATAGCATATGCCTTTATAATAATAATATTTAAACAATTTCTCATATATTTTGTTGCTTTGCTAATTTAAACACTTTTTTGGTAATATCTCAGCAGTCGGTCACGACCAACTTTGGCCTGTAGACTAAAGGGTTCATTTGATACAACACACATCCTCTGTGACCTTTTGATCTCAAAATCATTAGGGGTTATTTTCTAGTTATGACAAACCTTCACACCACATCTTACGACTGTAAGCGAAAAGGTTCTCTGGTTATTAGTCGAACAATCTAGAGGTGTGACCTGATGATGTGACATATCTGTGCCATTCAAACATTATTGATGTACGTGCAATTCTTAAATTTCTTAATGAAATTTCATCATATATTATTACTGCTGCCTGCATACAACAGGATATTTTTTGTATCATTGAAAGCACTATTTTTTTTATTTTTTCCAGGCAAAATCCAGTCAACATGAGAAGATAACTGAGTTACTACTGTTGCTGCCTAAACGTGGGTCAAAAGCTTTCCCAATCTTCTTAGAGGGTGTCAAAAAATATTCTCCCTTCCTGGGCGACAAACTTGAAATGAACTATGAAAAAGGTAAGAAACAATAGTTTTAATCTAAAAATGTTTGTAAATGTTTATATTATGTACATTGTATATTTGATAGAGACTCATAGGGAAGACTGGGCATGCCCAACTATGTTGCCTCTTTAAATAAAGTCAATAAAGTCTTTATTATTATTATTATTACTTATTGAATCAATGTATACAATGGCATGAGTAGATAATAATAAATTGTTTTAAAGGGACTTGACACTTAGGTCTTTTGGCATGACGGGACTGGAAATAAAAAAATTTGAGATTTATGTCCAATTTGAAGTAAGTCTGGACCAATCACTTTAAATTTGTTCATTTACTCACTCCCTTTTTTCCAAAATAATAACCATATAAAATGACCACAAATTGAAAAACCTTCCACACTTTTCACATATTGAGCTACAAATACCACAAAAATATGATTTTCAGTTTTATCTGAGTAACATATTTCATAATTATCTTTTGCATATCTTTTTGTTTTAAAGTGGCCTACTTAATCTTTGTAAAAAAAAAATACAATCAAATGCTTTGTTTTTATGCTTTTGGACCTCAATGGAATTCCTTTAATTAATCCCTAAAATCTTTTATTAAAGGCACATTATGCCTCTTTCTATCTGAGAGGAAAGGGAGTGTAAATACACTAAACTTATATGTTGCTTTAACATTAAGTTTTCTTTTCAAATGCTTTTCAGAACAGAAACTGTTTACCTACGAGCACAAAGACACTCATGACACTTCAAAGGAGACCGTTGATAATGAGAACAACACTGCAAAGCCTTCTAAACATCAGGAGAAAGCTTTCGAAAAGACCTTCAAGAGCAAGGAAATCTCTGAGCGGCGGCACTCCCTGTCGGTCTCAACCACAAACCACGCAGTGTCCTCAAACATGCCACAACAAACACTGAACAATATGTACACCAAATTAAAGTCCCACCTTCATAAGCATTCTCATGTAGATTCCGAAGCTATAACACCTGAACCTATTACCATTAAGATGGTGGACAAGCTTCTTGATGACATCTGCACTCACCTTGACGAGCACGAGATGACATTCTCTCAATGTCATGCGTTGCTAGGAGGGAGGGACAGGAACTATCCCCTAGTCTCACACATTATAAACTTGCAGAAATCAAAGAGACAACTAGAACAAGATGTGAAGGAAAAGGATGTACAGAAGAATAAATATGCTGATCATATCAGTAAACTGGAGAACAGATGTAGGAACCAGGTATCATTTTTATGTTTTCAGTTATATCAGGGTTCAAACAGAAATCTGTCAACTAAATTTAAGCACTTTTCAATGACTTCTTTAGGTCAATTTTGCATTTTCCAGTAGCTTCTTAGCAAACAATCAAAGTGTGAAGCAAAGATTTCTATCTAAAAGCAATTGTACCCTCCAGACACCTAATCTGCATTTTACTTGAGGGTGTTACCTCTCTCATTGCTTCTCTAATACTCTATGCTTTTTTACTTTCTCCCACACATGTATACCATCTACTTCAAATATCTTCATGCATACCCACATTAGCACTCGGGACTGTGCATTCCAAACATTGCTTTATTTGATAACCGATTAATAGTCCTTTTCAAGGACACACTCAATTCAAGCACTTTTCAAGACATAGATAGTTTTCAAGCACTTTTCAAGACCAGTGCATACTATGGTTGAAGTAAAAACCATTAAAGCAGGCATAAAATAAATCTAAGAAATCAGGAATTACAGTTGTATTCTTGTTAAACCATAATGACAAAATGAATGTTGAATGAATTTTGTTTTAGTTTGAAGTCATTCCACAACTTGTTTTATTGGATTGCCAGGTCCATTTTGTTAATGTACATTAATATTGGTTTTATAGGAGTTACTTTCCCTCGAAAAGTTTCATGCAAAAAACCAGTTAAGCATTGAAATTGGTTAAATGAGATCAATTAGTAAATAAGATAATGATAAAGACAAAAAATAATCATTTAAAAGAAATTCCTTTGTAAAATTATGTTTATAACTTTTTTCTAAATGTTTTCCTGTCACCAATAGGCACCTCAGTAAAATCAATGACATTGTCTTAGATAACTACATATTTTCATCTCATACGAGAATTCAAAAGTCCCCATTTTGTTACATTTTCGCATCCACACATCTTACTGTTAAAACTTTATTCTTTACAGGCAACAGAAATCAATCACTTGAACGAAGAGATTAAGAAGTTTAAAGAAGAAATTGAAAAGTTACAAGCTATTAATTCTGAAAGAGAAGAAAAACAAAAGATCATAGATGAGCTAAGAAAAATGGTGATGGATGCAGATACCACCAAGAAAAGTAAACTAAGAAGTTCTTATTTAGCCTTACATTATGACACTAATAGCACAGAAATTAAACAGTTAAGAGCAGAGGTAAGAAGCTTGAAGCTTGACAATGAAAACTTAAAGACAGAAAATCTAATGCTGAAAAAGTCTGAAAATCTAAAGAAACTTGCAAAAATGAGGGAAGACCAGGTAAATCCTAAAATTGAAACAGTTAATGGACCACAATCTATGTTTGAAGAACCAAAGGGAGGTAATCTTAAAGTAAAACAAAGACATGTTTATGGAGGAGTTACCTCCCAGAGTTCACAAATGAGGAGTTCATTTGGTAGACGACTTGAGTCAGATAGGGGCATGTTTGCCGCTCAGCCACATCCAGAAAGACCTGGAACAAGAGGTTCTGTTGATAATATACATAATATAGACCAAGATGAGAAAAGTAAAGCTTCCAGATCAAGAGAAAGAGAGAGGGATTACCAAGATTTAGATTTCAAGTTTTCTAATAGTCAAAATGGAGCTGTTGGTCAGAAAAGAAGTCCAAGTAAAATAGATCAAATAAAAAGTATTTTCTTGAGTGTACAGCTGCTAAATATAAAAAACACTATAATTTGTAAAAATTTCCCAACTGAAATTTGAAAAAAAGGAAAGAGGCAACCACGGGACAAATGAGGCAACAGTAAAGGGGGACCCAAAAAATGGTAAGGGAGCATAAAAAAGGAGCGAAATATGGAAAAGAGGGGAAGGTCAAAAAAGCTTTAAGACTAAACCCCCAGCAAAATGGCATCTCAAAGTTTTCAACTTCAAAGAATATCATGAAAATGTCATCCCATCTTATACAGAAAAGCAGAAATCTTAGGCAACCAACAGGAAATTGAAATTATCAACCTAGATAATAAACCTTGCAATTTCAAAACAAAAACAGTTTTCACCCTTGTCCCACTGGAACAGAAAGTGATAGTATAGAGAGAGGCACATCCATGCTTTTTACTGTTGGCGAACAAATTTTAAATTTTCACCTTGATAAATCATGTTAAGGAAGGATATTAAACAATAATTTCAGCAGGTTATAGGTAAAAGAAATTTGATGACAAAAATCATAAAACAGTTAACTAGACAAGTTAGCCTAATAATAGAGTGATAGTTGAGGCAATAATTACTTCCTCTCTTGTCAATGATGAATATTCATGTTATAATTAAGGAGTGACATTTTATTACTTCTCTTTTTGCAACATCCCATGCCAGATTATCAGGACATTCTGGTGATAATTATAATATAGACAGTGTTTTGCATAAAAAGTTTCATACAAGTCTTGGACTAGGTGACAGAAATCTTGAAGTTCACAGTTATGGGAAATTTTCAAGAATCAATTGGGAACTTTAAACAGATTTCTTAATTTTAAAGAAGCCTTGAGTTATTCAGAAGGAAGTTAAGTTCACATTAGTACTATTCTATAGGAAGTTGAGTTCACACAAGCACTATTTTATATATTCTCTATTCTTTACTCAGATCTTTGCTCAATATATTTAATACCATTTCTACATTTATTATGTTGGAATTCAAATAAATAAATATTTATTGTTGTTCACCATTATATTTATCATGTTAACAGATCTGGATGTAAAGTAAGTTATACTTAAGTCATTTGTTAAACTTTTGGATGATTGGGTTGTGTTTTACGTCCCACCAACACTGTAAAGGTTACTGTCCAGCTTTTACTGATTGAGGAAGACAGTAAGTGCCTCTCAGAGCGACACAAACAGGCAACTGAGCAGAACCATCAACATACCATAAGCTAGCTGGAAGATTTCTTTACATAACAGTTTCCAAAGTCTCCTTGTTGGATTCAAACCCACAGTGTAATCACTCAGTAATGCACACCCTCATTTTTGATTGAATATTATTTGTTAACAACAACCCTATTTGAATCATAACATGACTTTCAAGTTTTATTTAATATTCAAGTATGACCACCAAATTTAAGTAAAAGAAAGAGCATCAAAACACGAGGCTATCTGATTTGTACGAGGGGGTGTAGCCCCGAGTATTAATCAGATTGCTGAGTGTTTTGATATTCTTTCTCTTTTGTATCATAGTCACACATTCCCTGTTGTCACAACATAAAACCCCAGAAAGAAAGGAACAATGAACGAGCATCTGAATATGATATTTCTATTGCTATCCCTTTCTCTGCATTTACATTAAGTAAACCCCAGAAGAAATGAGCCAATCAATGGGCATGCTCTGGAGTGCGGGTAACTAATACCTGCACTCCAGTTAACTCACTGTGCATGTATATGTATATGATTTCACTCGGATACATTTTCAACACAAAGGTCCCCAAACTATGATACAATAATCATCATTGTTCATCTACTCTCATTAAATACATAGTGTAGCAAATATCAGTTATATGACTAGCAACCATTATTATCCTTGGTCATTATGGTAATTAATGTATACCCTCATTATATAGCTTAGCAGCATTTTCCATTTTACACTTTCTGTAGGACAACAAAGGGGCACAAACAAACTTCTGCAGTTACAACATGATCATGTAGGCACTAATCAATGGCAATATATCATATTAAGCACACCAACCTTGAATGGGTACTAACTAATTTTATGCAAAGGTCTTTAATCCACACTGTCATTTTTAGTTAGGAGGACTTTGTTGTGGAGGGTTTATGATGATGTTTATTCTACTAATCCTGTATGTGACACTATTTGTGACTAGAGTGAACAAGTATTATGACTTTGCATGTTCATTGACTTTACTTTACACTTACCTGTTTTACCCTTGTTTATATTATCTGGCAATCTCTATAAAGACAATCTCTACAATTCTGCCAAGGTCTTGAACCACTCTGTTTACATTTGGAAGAAGAAAGCCAAGAAGTGTGGGTCAAATTTCATTGTCAAGAAAATTAAGAGCAGTCTCCAATAGTATTCAACCAGTAATCTTATAATACAAGAGTGAATGTCCAACTATAACTATTTTATGTTTGAGCAAGTTTCTATCACTTATTCAATCTCTATCTAATAGCAAAGAAAAAAGTAACAGCTTAAAAACCATAGCTAATATTGTTGTTGCAGGAACAAAATTAATTGAACTATAAACAAGAGAGTGCTATACGTTTCTCAGTATTTGAAAGCAAAGTAGAAAAAGGGGCATAATTCTGATAAAACTGTTTGGCAGAAATTCTTGCCTTGATATGTAACAAGTATTTCCAGTTTGAAGTGAATATCTCTGATGTTTTTTTTTCTTAAAAAGGGAGATAATTGAGGAAGAATGCCCTTTAAGGGTTATCTGTTTTTATAGTAATGCATTCTAATTTTATACTGAATATGTATCACAAGTGTTAAGTGATGATCTTCTTTTTTTTGAGATATTAATCTCCCTCTCTGTGTTCCTCAGAATGTAGTCTATGTTGTTTTATACTGTTTTGGTGACACTTTTGTGTCTCTTGTTGTTTTCTCGGCTACGGTAAGTATCTTCCCCTTTGCCCCAAGTTTTTATTTATTTTATTTATTCCCCCCCTTCCCCGGGTCTCATGTCCCCTTACCTTGTGCCTTTTGACTTTAGTTGCCTAATATTCAATCATTTATTTGTTTTCTTTTAGTTCCTTATCAGTTACTAACTAGAGGATGCTTTTGTAAAAAAGCGCATGTCTCCCCCACTGCTGAGAATAACTGTGAATGGAAACAGGAATGGAAATGGAGATGACCAACGGTCACTGTGACCTTGACCTTTGAACTACTGACCCCAAAAACAATAGGGATCATCTGCTCAATAAGACCGTTCATCCTATGAAGTTTGAGAGCTGTAGGTCAAAAGGAACTCTAGTTATCGTCCGGAAACGAAGAATGGACGGACGGACGGACTGACGGACGGACAGGGCAAAAACAATATGTCTCCCCCCGAGGTGGGGGAGACATAATTATTTATTCTTATGTAGTGGATTGCCTGCCCATGCTCTGACTTGCGCCCTGTCCTGTTTTTGATTGGGGTCCTCCTGGGCTCCTTGCCACTGGCTCTTGTTACTGGGTCGGGTGGGGGCTGCATTCATTGAACGCCGCCTTTCCTTGTTGATCTTGTTTATCATATTTTAACTAAGATATTAATCTTAACAAAAAGATTATAATCAGGGAAAAAATATCTAAGTCGCATATTACTTCGCAAAAAATAAATTTAAGATTATCTGTCCTTTTCAAATTGCCTCAAGGAAACCAAGTTTAAAGTCAATAGCTCTGGTAGTAGTTTCTGAGAACATTGACCATAACCTATTATCATTAAAGGACACAGTGACCTTGACCTTTGACCTCAAATCAGTGTGACAGGTAGAACTTGTCAAGATGTATCCTGATATGATGTTATGGCTTTATGAGTATTGAAGTTAATGATCATGAGTGAAAAACTTAACTGAAAGGTTAACCAACGCTGATGCCAAGGCCTAAGACTGTGTGGGTCATGACAATACTGCCATATTTAGAAGAAAAAAAGTTGAGCTTATAAAAAACATCATGCTAGACAGTGACCATTATCATATTAGTAGCTTGTTTGTAGTAATTACATAACCATATCTTAAAATTCCACACAAGTAATTATAAAGCAATTTTTTAAGACTTCTTCCGTTTGTTCTAATAAATAGAACAAAGGACAAGAATCATTATCACCAATAATCTTAGAAAATTAGGCCACAATTATGAACAATTATGCCATAGAAATGACAATAATATTTTACTTTCAGCGATGACGAATGGGAAAGCTTAATTTTTCCATTCACATATAGATAGATATCCACCAAAGTTTTGAATGAATTCAAAATACTTAAATATTTCACTAAAATTTCTTTTTACAGGCATGTTGCTTTAGAAGTTGTGCAATTTTTTTCTTCTTGTGGATTTCCCCTTTTCTTCTGCAAATTTTGTACAAAAATAACATATGACGTGTTGCAAGAAAAAAAAAAATTATAAAAGAAAGTCACTTTTAAAATCGCTGCATACTGCTTTCCAAATACTTTGGGGGCTACACAGCTCTGAGGCAGTTAAAGAGACATAAGAGAGGAATGGGGACTGTGGTCTGTTTTTTACAAGAATAACTATCAGAAATGCTTTTATATAATATATGAAATAACTATTTAGTGGTAAGGAATGGATGAAACTGCTAAAACAGTGCTAGAGAATAACAAAGCTCATATTAAGATTAACATGAGAATAGATGAAGAGATTTTAGATGCACTTGAAGCAACTAGAACTCTAAATCATGAGGAAATTGAAGATATACAGGTTTGTTATTTTTACTGTTTATCAAATAGAAAAAAAGGAATCTTTTATTAAAGAATGCCTAATTATATAAAACACCAGGCTTTGTTTGATTGAGCCTAAATACTAAAACAAAATTGAGAGTTTAAATAGATTAAAAGATATGTTCAAATTTGTTTAAATTTTCTCAATGCTAATCTAATTAATTAACACTCCAGCAATTGTATATACTACTAACACAATGATTGAAGTTTTTAGAAAAATTCAATGATTTGGTCTTAACTGTCAAGCCCCCAACCACTCACTGTGCCAGGGTACTATCATTGGAAAGCTCATTTGAAAAAAATCTAGCAAAAAATTGAACTGAACCTAAAATGCTTTTAATTCTTAGGCTGAAAGAACTGACACTAGAAAGATCTCAATGTTACTGCGTATACTACCAAGAAAAGGACCACATGCTTTTCAAAGTTTCGTGAATGCTATAATCACAGATTACCCATTTCTTGCTGAAGAACTTATTGAGGAATACCACGAAATAAAAAGTAAGTACACTATAGATCAGAAAATAAAACATAGTGGCATAAAACCTAATTTACCTATATTTACAACTTGCAAATTTTATGGTAACTCATCTAGACAATATGTCAAAAATAATTGGCAGTTTAATTATCATTTTTAAAGCAGCATGCCTCCAGATTCATCTTTATTTCCATGAAAATTTTGAAAATGTATTTAAAAACAAAATATTGTTAAGAAAATCAAGAAAAAAGACAAAGAAAAAAAAGTTGGCAGGAAAAACGCAACAACAACAATATTGTTGTCTCATTTCCATAGTTAAAGTTCAGCATTTTACCATTTTAACAATAATCATGAACAATAATAGCGAAATAAAAAAGAAGTCAATTTCGCCAGAAATGCTGAATCCCAAACAGACTTCTATCACTGATTCTGTTCCCGACCATTTTTTGGGATGTAGAATATCATCAGCCAATCAAAGTGTCCTTTCGCACACAAATCATTTGATCACCCAATAGTATTGAGGCATATAAATTTTTACCATCCAATGTGCTTGTGACACATTTTTTCATCCGTCAATAAGCAACAAAAACATTATGGATTTAAATTTCAACTATTTAAATTTTATAACAGTTGTTTAATGTCTATAGATAGACTAAAAAAAATGACCCAAGTATTTTTTTTCTCTCAGGCTTGTCAGCATGCTACATTAATGATGTTGGCAGGCAAAGATAAAAGGTCTGTCCGATCTTTTGAACTGTGTCATATATATGTTGGTTACAAATAATGGTCAATTTGCCTGTATTTTAGAGAGTCTACATGTCGGATTTTTTATATGGAATAACACAGTAATGTTCACAGGTATAGAATAAAAGCTCTGTTATAACGCCTCCTAGGGCATAGAATAAATGCATTACAAAATCTCCAATTTATATTGAAACTTTTGTCAGACAAAAAAACCCCAACGCCCTTGGATGTTTCACTGAAAATTATGACATAGTTTGGCATGTCTGATAATTTGATTATTTGCATAATTACTTGCATACAATTGAAGACAATTATTGAGGTATTATTTTCATAAAGCCTCCAGCTTTCGCATGTATCAATTAGCATGACATTAGCACTATTAGGCTTGTGAAGCGCGCTTTAAATAAAACAAAAATACCTATATTTACACCTGTGTTACTCTTACGACACCGAAACCGTGCACCGGAAATAATCCCCAGCTGACTTCAGTTGATATTTTGCACTGGCGGTGTGAAGACGTGCTATGACATTTAGTTTATATTTTTTAGTTTTTTGTTGTTTTTTTTTGGTAAGTTTATCGGTTCCCTACCCCCTTACTGTATATTCAAGTCTTGGACGTAGTCCAGACAGTTATTTTGGGCTTTGTTTTGCCTTAATTATGAGTGGAAGTGAGGACGATAGTTCCCACCGTGAACGGTCCGAGCACGTGGTGTTGGACTTTGCCGATTCTGATGAGGGTTTTTCTGGTTTTGGTCCGAGGATATACCTATTGAGAGAGAGGAAGTTATTGTTACATCAGATGTAATGCAAACAAATAAGAAAAAAAGATAAAAGCTCTACGAAACAAGTTAAATCTAAACCAAAACAGACTAAAAAGAAAAATTCTAAAAAGCCCACAAAGCCCGTTTTAATATAGACAGTTTGTCTCAAGCAGACTTGGAAACATTGAGAAGTAAGCTTATGATAGATAAGCCTGGAAAAAATTCAAGTTCAGTGAATATTTTAGAATCTGAGGACCTTTTTGAACCAGATTATATTGACTCTGAAGATTATGAAAATGTAGACCCGAGTTTCAGGGAAGATTTTAGAAGAGGGCGTAACATGAGAGTCTCTTTTAATAGGGCTGATCTTTCAGACAGTGAAAGTGAATTTCGTGCTGATAAAAATGTAACCACGTAATAAAGATATGTCAAAAACCTTCTGAGTGCCATGATTTGGGTCTGATTCTGATGAGAATGTTAATTCCGTTTGTGATGAGTGGATTGATGCCTCAATTAAAAGTTACTCAAAAAGGTGAATTTATAAATTCTTTCTTTGGCATCTTTGATAAATGTTGCTTGTACAACACCATGTGAAACAGAAAAACTGGTTTAAAGTATCCGGTTCCAAAAAAATTGTGAAATGTTGCCAACCCCCTTTTATTAATCAAGAGGTTTTGGAAAGTACTAGACAAAAAGAAGCACGTAGTTATGATCATTTGTTTGTGGAAATTCAAAACTTACTTGCAACTGGTATGGTTCCAGTTTATCAAACTTGTGACCATTTTGGAAAGATGTTATAAAGTAAAAATGACAAGGCGAAAAAAAAGAACTCATTTCTTGAGTGTCTGACTCTTTTTTGGACAAGCTCAATACCAATTTGTCTTTAAGAAGAAGCATAAATTTGATTCGGCCCAGTATAAAAAAGAAAAAAGGAAAATTTGTTTTAATCAAAGCACTCCTGTTACGTCTCAACTTTTTGGTGACGATATTGCGAAAGAAATAAAAAATTGTGTGCGGGGCCCCAATTGCATTAAACTAGATTTTAAATTTTAAATAAACCTTTCAAAAAACCCGAGTTAGTTTTAAAAGGGAAAAGGTGTCGGTTTTATTTCCAATTCAGGTTCCCGAAACGTGCGTATCCCCGTATTTTTTCGGTTAAAACAGCTAAAATAGCAAAACCCTTTTCAAATTTGGTTTTCGTTTATTTAGCAGCCCTTTTCCCAAATTTAAATTTGCAAAGAAGAAATCGAAAACGTATTTGGGTGTACTTTCATTTTCGAAAAAAGGCCGAATTTTTTTTTCCCTTTTCCGTTTAACAGTTGACTGTGGGATCTTTTTTTCCCTTTAAAACCCGGGGCCAAAAACTTCCCAAATCCTTTTCAAATTTTGTAAACCCGTCAAATTTGTTTTTTTTTTGATAAACGCGTTTGGTTTAAAAAGTGTGGCTTGATTTTCCAAATTTAAAAATTGCCAAACGTTTTTTTAATAAAGGAAATCATGGCTGCCTTCCAAACAAAGCACATAAAAATTGACAATTTTTTTTAACGCAACTCAGTTACACACTAAAAACAATTGTGAATCCTATTGATGAAGACATTTTAGATCGTGTATTTAAAACGAAAAGGACGCACATAATTGTGAATTGCAACACAACACTTGAAAATTGGCAAAAATGTTATCTGTGGCTTTCAAAATTTCAGAAACTGGTACTGAAGTACGAATGAAATATCTGACTTGTCATAAATTTAAAGCTGGCAATGTATGGGCTAATGATGGTGCAATAAACATGCAGAAATCGGCAATTGATTGATGGTTATTTGTAACGTAACTGTTTATGTATTGTCACCAATTTTTGTTGTAAACAATATAAATATAAAATAAGAATATGGTAAAGGCCTTTCAATTGACGTGAATTCACGCTGAATATCTGCTAAATTAATGCAAAATAATATTTTTTAATGTATTTTCATTAAAAAATATTCTATTTTCAAAGGACCATATTATTTTTGTACAAAAAAGTAAGTCATTTCATTGCACCCTTTAGATTTACGATATATCTAAATTTACCCCCACATTCTGAAAAGTGGGGGTAATTACCCCCAGTGTAAAAAAATTATCTGGAACTCTGCATATTATGGGAATAATCGTACATATCAGTCAGATTATCAGACTCCCAGATGGAGTAACTTCAAAGAAAGAGGGAGCTTTAGAGGTCGTAGACGACCCTCTGCTACGGTGACATCTTCTCAAAGGGATGTCCCAAACGAATAGATACAGAGGAAGTTTTGCCTCAGGTAGGTAGGTTGAAATATTTTTCTCATATGTGGAAATTTTATACAAAGGATGATTGGATCCTTGAAACCATAAACGGTTATAAAATTGAGCTTGAAAGCATTCCTTCACAAGATTTCATTCCTTCTGAAATAAGTTTTTCTCCAAAAGAAAGAGAAGTTGTTGATAATGAAATCTTGGAATTAAGTAAAAAAGGAGCTATAGTTCATTCTTATTGGGAAGAAAATCAATTTTTATCAAATATTTTTGTTGTTCCTAAACCAAATGGGAAATATAGACCTATAATTAATTTGAAAAGACTCAATAAATTTGTTAAATATGAACATTTTAAACAGGAACATTTCAAAGTAGTTTTAGATTTAATACAACAAAATGATTTCTTTACATCAGTAGACCTTTGTGATGCATATTTTTCAGTACCTATTCATATAGATTACCAAAAATTTTTGAAATTTGAGTGGAATAATGTTCTTTGGAAATTTGTTTGTTTACCTTTTGGCTTAAGTTCAGCTCCAAAAGTGTTTACAAAAATTTTGAAACCAGTTTATGCCTGGCTTAGGCAGCAGGGTGTGCGATGTGCATATTATATTGACGATTCTCTCAATATGAATCAAACTGCCGAAGTAAATCATTTTTGTGTTTTTAAATTTCAAAATAACAGACCTTTGATTTGTAATTTTACAGTTCTTACATTTAGTTTTAAGAAGAAAAAAGAAAAAGTAAATAAATATAAGAAGAATGGTAAAAGAATAAGGCCTGTTAAAGTTCAATTTCAATGTACCTCAGATGCCTCGTGTTTAGGCTGGGGATGTTGTGATATTGCATCAAACAAGATTGCTCAAGGTCAATGGTCAGTTATAGAAGCACAAATGCATATCAATTATTTAGAGCTTTTAGCTATTTTCCTAACTCTTAAATCATTATACAAGCATGTTTCTGATACACATATTCAGATTCAGTGTGATAATGTTTGTGCTATTTCCTATGTTAATGACATGGGTGGGATGGCATCCATGGGAATGAATGATTTAGCTTTTGACATATGGACTTGGTGTCTGAAAAGAAATATTTTCATATCTGCTGTGTATATACCAGGTTCAGACAATGTTGTTGCTGATTATTTCTCTAGGAATTTCTCTGACTCCACAGAATGGATGTTAAAATCAGATATTTTTTAAAGCGTTTGTGTAATCATTTCTTTCAGCCAGATTTTGATCTTTTTGCTT